CCCCAGCCACGACGCCTTCGTTCCAGTTCCTGGCCCCACGTTACAGAAATCGACGCCACGCACCGACGTTGGGACGAGTCCTCGCTTGCCCACTCTGCTTCTTCTCTTGGGTGGAAGCCGTGGACGTCTTCATGCTGAACATGGGCTCGAGGCGGGTGGAACCCCGGTAAATCCACTCGCAGCGCTTGTCGTCCTGCGGCGAGAAGGCCACACTCGCAGCGACAGCAGCCCCAGGGAATCCCCCGGGCGCAAAGATCAGCCCAACTTCCCCCTGCGATGGGAAAAGGGAAGTTTCCTTACCAGGAAAAGGATTTTAACCAGGCTGCCATCCACTTCTTCCACTCGGGATTTCCACCAGGTCCCTTCCCACTCGGTTTTGATGAGCTGGCCGGTCTTCAGCAGCACCATGGGCCGGTTGGGGTAGGCCGTGATGTACTCCTCGATGAAATCGCGACAGGAAACGTCCTCGATGTCTTCCCAAGTCTTCTTCACTGCTCAGCAAGGGCGAGAAGAGGAAGAGGAGGTAAGACTCTTACTGCCAGAATCTTTAATTCTTTTTTTCCAAGAGATCCCAGCTGGATTTTTACGTTAAAAACCACCAAGCAACAATCCCGAGCGGCCAGATTTCTAGCGAGAAGGCATCCAGCCACGTCGCTGTCTTTCAACTCCTTCGCCCACCCAAAGGCACCGCCAGGAGGGGCAGAGCTCACTCACGCGGCCGGCAGATCGGGTACAGCTCCCACTCCTTGACGTACGACGCGTAGCCATCGTCAAAGAAGATCAGGAACCTGGAGAAGAGCGGCGGTGGCAGTTGGGGTGAGAAATGCAGCTGAATAAAACGCAGTTCCACGTCACGTAACGGAGAGAGAGAGCCCACAGGGCGCTGCGACCTCGGAGCGGGAGACCCACAGGACTGGAGATGGCGCCCGCTTAGCGCCTCCAAGTAATACATTTGCAACAGGAGGAAGAAACGCAGTTCATTTTCAGTTTTGATGCCTCGAGCAGCGCGGCCTTTCATTTGTGTGCTCGTCTGAATGAATTACCAGATATAATTCCTGACTCAGGGACATGAGTAATGGAATGGAAGCTCCACCCTGAGCTTTCGGAGATAAGAAACAACACTCAGAGCTACGGCTCCAAAAGGGGCAGAAAAGAACGTAGCTCCCAAATATAAAAATACACTTTTTTTTTTTTTTAACCTAAAACCAAAGCAATCAAAACTGAAGAGATAGGGGTACGTGACCAGGGAGGAGAATTAATACCTGTCTTTATTCTTGACGTTGGGGGTTTCGGCCACGATGCCGGCGTACAGCCAGACCTGATTCCCATCCTTGTATTTCGCCACGACCCGGCTGCCCACGTAGTGTTTCTCGGGCGAGGGGTGATAGTCGTAAGCGATGTGATTGCCAGAAAGCAAACTCTTCCCTTTGTTATCAAACTTCACTTTGTACTTCTTCCCAGCACCTGCAAAACACGCCGCCGCGGCAGGATGAATAAAAGCCGAGGGATCTCACGCACCGCTCGGATCCAGCTCAAAACTAATCCAAAAACCTTCTGGAAATGATTTTGGAAGGTAAAATACGACTTGCTCTGGGTGGCTCCTGGCAACCCGCTCCAAGCCCCGGCGCCGTTACCCCCCCAAAGCTTCCGGAGCG